TCCGAAGAGAACGCGTACCTGCACGTCATCAGCCTGGACCGGCAACTGCAGAACTGGTACCGTCGGCTGCCAGACCACCTGACATGGAAGCCGGCCAACATCAAGGCTGCGCCGATGAGCTTCTTCCTGCTGCACCAGCAGTACCATGTCTCCATGATTCTGCTGCACCGCCCGTGGGCCAAGTACGGCTCATTATTGTCGTCGGACGGGTCAAGCACCAACTCGCATCCGAGCCCGTCGTCTCCTTCTGCTGGTGGTGGCAACGCTGCGGCTAACCGTCGCGACTCGTTTAGCAGCAATGCAACAGGAAGTCATGCCGGTGGCATGACCGTGACACAACAGCAGCAGCACATGTACAATGGCATTGCAGGCCAGGGCTCGCACGCCATGGCCTCCAGTCACTCGGTGCTCGGCCTGGGCGACCCGCAATGCATCGTGGATGACAGCCGCACCACGCTATCGCGCAGCATTTGCACACAGCAGGCCATTCGCGTTGCGCGCATCTTTTGGCAGCACCGCCAGCGCTTTGATGGCCGTCGCATCTGCGTCACGGGCATCCAGCACGCCGGCACGGCCGCCATTGCGCTGATTGCTGCTCTTGCCTACCAGCAGAGCAGCGATTCCGACCGTCGCTCGTACCTGGGCTACCTCGAGATCCTATCGTACGCGCTGACTGATATGAGCCACACTTACCAACCTGCGTCTCGCATGGATGACCTGCTCAAGGCCGTCTTGGAGCAGCTACGAAGTGACGTTTACGGGCCCGACTACGCGGCGGCCATGGCAGTGGCGACTTCTGCTGGCAACAACAGCAACGGTAGCAACAACAACGGCCGGCCTGGTAGCGTGTCCTCGTCAACAGCATATGGTAGCGAGCTTGGTGGCGCTACTTCTCTTGGTGCCGGTGGCAGCAGTGAATGGTACGGTCCTGGCAACGTGGGCGCGGGAAGTGGTGGCAACATGAATGGCATCACCGGCACCACTCTGGTACAAGCAGCCAGCGGCGCACCCAGCGGTAGCAACGGTATTGACGTCTACAGCGTGTTGCCAGCTCGGCGCGAAAACCCAGACGCGGATGCTCTCCAGTCCTTTAAGAAAAGGCGGCCCCCTCCCTCACGTCGCGCCTCCGAGTTCACACGGCCACCACCACCATTCTTTTCACAACACACGCCACCCGGTCCGAACGGTGCACCGGGTGGCAGTGGCGGTTTCCCAGCAATACCTTCGACAACGGCAGCTGCGACAGCTGCAGCCTCTGCAGCGGCGGCGGCTGCCGCCGCGTCTGCTGCTATCCACCACCCCTGCAATAGTCACCACCACAATCCCCAAGGTGTACATAGCCAGCAGCAGCTTCATGCGGCTCAGAACCAAATGATGACCAACTTTTTCTCAACCGGCACGCCCGGCGGCAGCGGTGCTGCGTCTGATCGTGGTGGCCCGTTTGGCTTGGACTTTCTCAATGGCTCGGCCATTGACCTTGACGGATTTGAAGACCGAAATGACGCCACGGGCCTGCTTCGTGGCACTGGACTTGATGACTACGTGCTGGTCCGGCCGGGTACTTCGGATAGCTGGGCTTTGAACGGGAACACCCACCACAACCAACAGCCTCAACAGCCTCAACAGCCTCAACAGCCTCAACAGCCTCAACAGCACCACATTCAACATCACCATCACAGCCAAAGCCACGGAGCCTTTGATATGCCTATGGTGGACTGGACGGTCGGCCCGTCGGCTGTTACCGCAAGGCCTGTGGCGTCTGCAGCCGGTGTCAAACTCTTAGCATCACTGTCAGCTTCGTCGACACGGGGTGGCAATGCGGTCGGTATCGGTGCGGCTTTGGATGCCGAGCGAAAGGCAGCTGCCTCGGCTGCTGGCTTGCGCAGCAACAACAATACCAACACCACCACAACCTCGTCCCCAAACAACAACACCAACACTGCGCCCCCGCCCAACAACGGCGGCCCATCGCCTGCCACCATCGGCACCGATATCTTGGACTCGGTGTCAGTCTCTGTCGTCAAAAACCGTGCCAGCTTTGACAGCTTACGTCTGCAAATGGACATCCGCAACAACAGCTCTGCAGTTGGCGAGGACGAACATGGGAACAAGAACAACCTCGACTGGATGGAGGCTGACGTTCCACTTGACGCTCTCAGCCCTGTTAGCCTGAGTGGCTTGGTCGTGCAAACGGTCGAGAAGACTATGGGTGATGACAGTAGAAACAACGGTGACGGTAATGGCCGCAACACCGATGATGCCGGTGGCAACACCGGCGGCCCTGGGCCAATAGCTGGCCATGATGACGATCGCAACCACGAACTGGACTTTTTCAGTTTCTAGCCGCGTCTCCAGTATCTTTTTGTTGTCTCCTTCCCTTTCTTTTGTACTTTTCTTGCGTCCCCCTTAAATTGGTCTGTTTTGAGTTTTACTGCCCAGATGGAACTTCGGCGTCACTCAAAATTGTTTGCTTTCTGTAATGAAATGTGGATTGCTATCGTGGACGTGGAAATGGTTGTACTTCGTTGCAAAATTGTGAGTCTTGCTTTACCTTTTTATTTTAAATCGGACGATATGGTCGGATGTTACGGGGCCGAAGCAAGTTTGAGTTTTACTTATACTTTTTATTTTATTTTTATGTAACGTTTTGTTTATTCAACCTGGTTTATGTCTGTGACACGTGTTTCGTGTGTTATTGGAATTGATTTCTACTGCCATTTATGTCAAGCTTGTCCAATGGTATGGGTTTTCCGACGCATTTCTTAATTTCTTGTCCGAGGTCCGCGGCCACTTGTGAATGACAATATTACTATTATTTGTCCACGTTTTACCAAACATGGCGCAAGGACGTGATGGGGCCTACTTTAGGTGGTACAAAGGCCCTAAAACTCATAGAACCGGATAGGAGCTTCTGTGCCCCAGTGCTGCCTCGGCGAGGATGTTCTCCTACGTACAAGGTAAAGGTTGGTGCGATGGGCACGCGAGTGAATGAGGGAGTCGATATTGGCCAAAACAACTTTATTCCATGTCGCCGTCGATGGCATAGACCAGAACACAAAACATGGAGAACCCGGGTGACCCAGAAAGACGGCTCCAAATGCGGGTGGCCTCGTATAGGAAACCCGAGATGGGCTACACGGCAAAGCCATCGCCTATCATCTTCCACAAGGCTTTCATTTGAAGGGACGTTTACAAGAACATGCCCCTGGCATCTTTTACCAGTCCGGATTCTTCCAAACAGCCGCTGGTGCGGTACAGTGATGGCAGCCAACCCGCACCTTCCTATCACGGCTGCATGGGCAATTGGACGACCGTCGTACACTGATTGGTCGGAAGGGCCCGATGCGATAGCGATAGCTTTGGGGTGAGTAGAAGAGCAGGAAGGTGCAAATCCTGGGGCCATCTGTCCCACTTTTTTTGTTTTAATAACGATTTGGAAGTGCCATTAGTAAGTATCATGAAATTTTTTGTCCTGCAGTTTAGTTTGACGAGGCAAAGAGTCAGGAAGCCTATGACCGGCATCTACGGTTGAACTGTATACAACTAACTGTATGTCCTATTTCTCGCAATCCTCTATAAAATGCCTCTCTTTTCAGAATTCGCTTCTGCCACAAAGGTGAGCGGTAGTAGAACGAAGTAGAAATGAAAAGGACTTCCGGCCAGAGAATAAATGTCTCGGCGTTCAAACTTACCACTGCGTACTTTGCTTATTTAGAAGTGCCTTTGCGGAGCTATCTTACCGTGTCAAAGTGTAAGGTAGCACGAATAAGCTCAAGGCTAGGGTTGTGGTAGTGGCGCCGTCACGACATTGAAGGGCCAAGAAAGAAATCTAGATTAACGAAGAGGGCGAGACAGAAAAGCAAAGACGAAGACGAAGGAAGGAAGGAAAACAAACCCGAGAAGAACAACAAAAAGGAGTGAAAGAAGTACCACATAGGATGCTATACCGATACGGGCTAGAAGAAAACAAAAGGTGGACGTGGAATAAACACTACGATGACGGCGATCGGTTGGCGTCTGCGAAATCTTTCACAGTGGACTTTTTCAGTAGGAAGCTGTGATGAGTCTGAGGTAACTGATAGCAAGCCAGAGTGAAAGAAGATATGGAGGCCAAGGGTTTGCGAGTGACGGCAACTTAATCACAAAAAGGGATACAAGGCCTTCTTGGGACAATGTTAGGTGCAGTGAATGAAGGATATTAGTCCGAGGGATCGGGTCCGTGTCCCCTTGCCATTTGAGTATCTCTTAATTGTCTTTGACCGCGTTCAAAGCGCCTCTCTCCGCCTTTGCTTTTCAAGTCATCCAGCTACTGCCTTGGCCGCCAAATGGTGATCCCTTTCCCTTTTCGGCGACAATGCGTTCGTCTTTTTTCTTTTTTTTTTTTTTTTTTTTTTTTTTTTTTGGCGAACAGCTGAAACCCCCATTATTAACAGCCGGGCTGCAAAAGAGGAAAACGAGAGAACGAGAGACAAAAGCAAAACCAAGGCCCAAAATAAGAAAATGAAGAAATTCGGAAAACGACAGAAAGAGGGGAAATTACAGATAGTTTGATTTCAGGCCCGTTGGACGAATAACCATGCTTTCACTTCTCGAGCTTCCTACTGCTTGACATGCTTATCATTGCCGTCATCTACTTCTCGGGTGCTTTTTAGTCACTGCCCCCCTGTAAATTTCTCTCGTTCCATTTGTTACCATGCCTCCGTTGTTCCTGCTTATCATTGCTCTCTTTGGCGTCAAAACTTTCCCCTGGAATCCGTCCGCGAGTCTTTTTTCATCGTCTCGGTCGTGTGCTTGTCCTTGGCTTTTTTACTGTGTCTTACTCTTGCCTTTCTACCTCCCTTTTTATATATTTCGCACGGTCCCAGCCCATCGTCTCGTTTGTTACCATGCTGCATCCATTGAGTTCAAGCTTGCATTTGTCCTCTGAACGACTTGCGCTAGACACTTGACTTTCGTACACTCGTTTCCTTTGTTAAATTGGGTTCCTCTTCCTCATCACAATGCGCTTCTTTTCAACTGTAGCAGCCACTCTGGCGGTTGCCCAAAGTGCTTTCGCTACCCCCCATAACGACCACAGCAAACCATGGCATCGCGGCAAGATCTCGCCCAGAGTGTTGATTATTAGTCTGGTGGGTGCTATGTCATCAAATGTTTATGTTACATGTACGTCCTAGACGTCTGCTTACTCATGTTTCCTGTGCAGTTCTCCCCCGAAGCCGACGTTTGGTACAAAAACCTGCCCAGCAGCGGCCTTGGCGACCTGATGGACGTCAACGTCACCGCACCCGGCTTGTCCATGCTCTTCCCGCACGTGCACTGCGTGGCCGACGGCAGCATCTGCCAGATGACGACGGGGGAGTCTGAGATCAACGCGGCGACCAGTGTCATGGCGGCCGCCCTGTCAGGCAAGTTCGACTTGAAAGAGACGTATTTCCTGATCGCAGGCATTGCAGGCATTAACCCAAAGTACGGCACGCTCGGTGGCGTCGCATTCGCTAAGTACACGGTGCAGGTGGCGCTGCAGTACGAGTTTGACGCGCGCGAGATGCCGGCCAACTGGTCGACGGGCTACTTTGGCTACGGCACCAATGCACCCAATGTCTACCCGGGCAACGCCTACGGCACCGAAGTACTCGAACTCAGCGAGACTCTGCGCGACCTTGCCGTCGGCTTCGCCAGCAAGGCCAATCTCAGTAACGACCCGACTGCCACGGCCTACGGACAGCTGTACAAGGCCGCGCAGCCCGCCAGCCTGTACGCACCTGCCTCGCAGCCACCTTCAGTCGTCAAGTGCGATACCGTGACGAGCGACGTCTACTTTTCGGGCACGGTGCTGGGCAACGCCTTTGAGGAGGTCACAAAGGTCTGGACCAACGGCACCGGCGAGTACTGCATGACGGCCCAGGAAGACAGCGCAGTGCTCGAGGTGCTGGTACGTCTGGCCATTGAGGGCCTGGTCGATTTCAGCCGCGCCATCCTCATGCGCACTGGCTCCGACTTTGACCGCCCGCCACCCAACGAAACGGCCTTTGACAACCTGCGCATCGCCGACCAGAACGGCTTCGAGATCGCCATTGACAACATCTACCTAGCCGGCGTTGAGATTGTACGCGGCATCCTTGACGGCTGGCACTCCACCTTCCGCAAGGGCGTCAAGCCCGCCAACTACATTGGCGATATCTTTGGCAGTCTGGGCGGCGAGCCAGACTTTGGCCCCGGTAGCACCACCGACGGCGCGGGCTACAGGCCGAATGGCCTATCAGGCGACAATATGCGCAGGCGCAGTTTCAGCAGTGGCATGGGCCGCAAGGCCGGTTATGCCAGGCGCTCGGACGTCGGTCTGAACTGAGACAGAGTGTTTGTGACGATAAAGTGTGAAAGGGGCCTTGATATGTGTATATAAAAAATAATATTGAATATGCCGTATATAACGTAATACATATGGTTGTATTAACGGTCGAATAACCTGTTTCTTACTTGGTTGCCTACCGGCAGTGCCCAATCAAGCTTGTCTCTTTGAGCCATTTGCAGCAGTCCTTGAATGTCTGCCGTCTGTCAACGTCTGCGACATTGCAAATCTACGGTCACCGTTAGAAAGAAGCATAAGTTCAAATTATACTCAAACGAGGATAACTCACGCTTGTAGTCCCAACTTTCAACCCCATGTCGCGGCAACACACTGACGTCTCGTCGGCCAGAAGAGCGCCGTTGGTGCTGTTCATGCATAGGCAGTCGTTCGGCGCGAGATGCCACCCACAGTCGGCAGAGGCCGTGCTGGCGGCGAGAAAAGCAAACGTGAGAATGGGTGGTAGTAACATAGTGAGGTCAGGACGGGTGTCGCGTTTGAAGGATGTTGTATCTTGTTTTCGTAGACGATAGCCGAGACGTCGCTCTACTTATAAAAACCAGTGTCAAATATCCACAAAACCACGAGGAATGCGCTGGCGCCTACGCCACAGCTCGGGAACGGCCGATATTGCCGTTTCAATCGACTCGCCCGCTTCTCGATATGAACTCTAGACCACCTCGTTTACACTTGCAGTTCCCCTCATTTTTTATAGCCATTCGTATCGAACAAAATTTCAATTTATCCGGGTACATCAAACGTCATATGTCCTAACATCGGCATTTATTTTTGGTACACTACACTGTAAACATACGACGAAAAGTAAAACAATAATCGTTTCCTAATAATCGAATTCTATCTCTTACAAAACTCCTGTTACGCACATACGTAGTACGTCACTGGCTTCGAAATGCCAGGTAACGGAACAAGGAATGAAGTCTCACAAGTATCACGATTCAGAATGCCGTACCGTGGTGTAGGTCCTGAATAATAGTATGATAATGTATGTGATGAATGACTGTTGATTCTGAAAACTATCTACTTAAACTTGAGGTCGGAGAAAAGGTCTAAAGTAGCCGTCACATAGTTTAGTCAAGCGACACGTGACTTGGCGTCATACTAGACTCCCGTAAAGGGAGTCCGCGCGTGACAACTCCCGTAAACCGAAATCTAAAAACAATACATTACGGTTCGCATAACAGGTACACTAAATACCGGTATCCAACAAACCCACATATTGAGTCGGGACGGAGTACCCAGGGTATTATGTAAGGCTTAGGATTAAGTAAGCCGCCGTTCAGGTCGAGGGTACGCCGCCCAGGTCGAGGGTAGGCCGCTCTGCGCGCTCGAGGGTAGGCCGCTCTCTGCGGGCGCGCTCGAGGGTACGCCGCTCTGCAGGTCGAGGGTACGCCGCTCTCTGCGGGCGGGGTCGAGGGTACGCCGCTCAGGTCGAGGGTACGCCGCTCTCTGCGGGCGGGGTCGAGGGTACGCCGCCCAGGTCGAGGGTACGTGGGACGTCCTTCGTTGTTAAGGTTATCACTCTCTTACGAAATGACATATTAAATATATAATTAAGGCTTGAGTATCCCGTTATTTTATGTAAGGATGAAATAAATTAATCCTTAGTTGTTTATATGTATGTTTCAAGCCTTTCATACTTTATAGGGATATGTTCTCGGTCCGTATTATTATAGGCCGTGATTTAGTGTTTTTCTTGATAGTAATTCATCGCTCGATGTTTAGAGTAATATACCGGAGAAGGGTACGTTGAAGTAAAGAGAGGAGGTTGTATCTTGTTGGTGTTTGTTTAGAAGTGACCGTAAAACATGCAGGATGGAGTGACACAAGTGTACTTGTTAGTGACAACGGTCAGATCGTAGACTGATTTGCACTCAACGTTGTCACAGATTTCTAGGAGTTCTGTAATAGGATGACCACACCGGTGATGAATAAAAATCTTGTGGGTGCACATTGTGGTGGTTTGGTCGATGTGTGCGTAGTGGGATTTGAGGACCCAAAGGAATCAAAGTATGAAGGTGCAAGAGACGTGAGATTATTTGAGGTGCCGTGTACTTGTGTGTGAAATGGACTGTAATTCGAATATCTGAGAATTTGTGGTAAGTGTTTAAAGAGTGTCCTAGATGTCTCTTGCCTTCCTAAGGGTGCCTTTATATTTATATCCCGAGACATTTGCGTACTTAAAGAAGAGGACGGTGTTTCGTATCCTGTGTTTAATCTAGTGTATACTTTCAAGTAAAGTTGGACCTTACAGATTTATTATATTCGGCTTCTTACTAGAGGTAGTACGATTTCAGGATATGATGGTGAGCCGGCCATGCTTGCACAGGTGCAGTATTTTAGAACCACACTATTATAATAATAGTGAAAGGGTGCTTGCCCCCCATCTACCCCGTGAAAATTTAAAAGAAGAGGCAATGTGACCAAAAAAAGAGGGTGAGAATGGGAAAGTCGGGCGCATAGCTATTATAGGAGGTTGACCTTTACAACTCATTCAGATATGACTTATCCACTCGAACTCTGTTCATCAATATGCAATAAATGACGTACCCAGATGGCCTTAATACTGTGTGGTAGTAAGGGACTTAGCAATACACGAATGGACAGAATATCATAAGGAAATCAATGGATCGTAGGTATCGATAAGACAGAGGGGAAGACAGATCGGAATCAGAGGGTGGACATCAATTTTAACCGACCTCATAAATAACACAACAGGCCAAAGCCCACATGTAAGACTATGCCATCATTGTCTCATCATTATGGGTATCTTCGTTTCGACCTATGTCTTACCCTACCTAACCGAGATTCAAATAACGTTTTGGTCTTCAGTAAGTCGTTTATTCGTCTCGATTAAACCGTATCTTTACTATAACCAACATAAACTAGGTCCTTCTCCTATTTCACTATCGTCAAGGCACTTTTACATCCCAGATTCGTTGCTTTCGACTGCTCTTGAGACACTGTCTACTATGTGGCATTTATTCACTACTCCAGTGGTTTTGCATGATAGAAATAAACTCGCATTGCAGCCAGACACTGTTGTAAACACGCGAAGCGCCATTCGCAATACTCGTAGGGAAGGTATCGTAGCTTCCATTTTGAATTTTTCGCCGCCTTTATCCTTATCCCAGCTCTGGTCTTATTGGTAAGGTTCCACGGTTGGCTATAACTAGCAGACACATGACCAGTGCGTATAAGGGTCACCGTTGATACGTCGCCGTCTTATGGTCTGTTATATGTACGGCCTATTCCTGTTGTATTGGGTTTTCAACTGAGAATAAAACGGTTCATGCGATAAAGAAGAATCAAACAAATAAAAACAAATGGAGGACGAGGTCTGCGATGTATATATTTGCAGAGCTATAAAGACCTGAGTTAACGAGGGGTGCAGTTCGCGTTGTCTCTAGGTTCCAATAGCATTTATTTGTGTTATCCTTCTAGTCCTGAGCTTCATGTACGGCGCCTGGAAGTTGACGTCAAATGTGAAGATCGACAAGAAAGGCAAAGAGAAACACCGGTGTATTGTAACAGTAGACTGATGGGATGAGCCGAATGTAACCTGTATCCGCAACGTAGACCATATTTTTTAATAGTTGGGAACTTGTCGTGGCACGTGTGCAGGCAGGCGCGCGCAACCACCCGAGCCGCTTCCTACGCCTCGGGATATCCTCTTTTGGGTGTCCGCCAGAGATCATCGAGCGAGCATCAAAGGACACCGGATGATGAAGGGACGAAATACGACAGCAATGCAAAAGCGAATACTAATGCAGAAAATGAAATCTAAATTAAGAACAGGAGCGAGAACAGACAAACCGGCCGACGAACCACGGCACGCTTGAGTTGTAAGAACGAGAGGGGGACGGGACAGAAAAGCTCTCTTGAAACGGGACATAATAATACGACCGCATGTATATGTGGCGTGTCCTTTCAAAGGGCTTCTTCGTCCCCTCTTTACTTTTCGAGGGCATGTCATTTTCAGTTTGTCGTCAATATGATACACAACCCCGGCCGCAGGTGCATGCCGCTTCTCCCGCGTCTATATGAGCTTCTCTCCTTATTCCTTCTTTGTATTATCCCACGTTGACGCCATGAGACGAACCAGTGCAATTGGTCACATGGCGAGATGCCACAGATAAGAGAATGCATTAATTTACTGCATTGTCATTTTTCATCAAACGCTCGTAAACGAAATCAAGATGTTCTGGCTGCGAGATAATTGCGCGATAATACAAAATGCCTAGGTATATGCGATTACAACAAACAGCCCCTCTTCAAATTGCATCATAATTATTTTTGTTTGCGACCTGGACCTCCACATACCATATTCATTATTAGGTCGTTATGGGCACCTCTCTCCTTTCCCCTCTTTCTGTCATTGTTCTTTCAGACTGAGGCATACACATGTCCACGGTATTCAAAAGTGCCTTCACCCTGTTGTTTTATTCTTTTTAGGTCAAGGTTCGCCTAAAGATCAAAAAGAGACAAGGAGGCCTCCGTGCGTGGTTGGGTATGGTTACAAGAGTGCTGTTGGAGACGTCTCATTTAACGGTCGCCCTCCCACGCGTCCCACACCTCTTGGCTACCACCACTCACTGCACTGCATAGCACCTCGGCGTGGGAAGCAAGCGCAAGCACGACAAAGTGTAGCACGAACAACAAGGCACTGACGCGCCAGTCCCAGCGCCACTGGGGTTGGGGACGTGTGTATGTTGGGTAGCTAATAAACGTTCGGGTACTGTTGGTGTTGTCGGCGCGGGGGACGCCGAGGTCGAGGGCGGCTAGAAGCAATAGCGATGCGCCGACACCAAAACGGGTAGTATAGGGCCAGCATGGTCTGGTGAGGCTGGCCATCTTGACGAGAAATAGGACAGTACGAAGCGCAAAGTCGACGGTGGCGGCGTGACGTTGCAGGAAGAATGCGGTGCGGTGGTGCGCCTCCACAAAGGGAGACTGAGGCGGTGGCATCAAGAGATACGGGGGCACCGCGGCGCTGTCAGATTGCCGTCCCAGTAGAGGCGTGGCCATGTGTGGCCGTGGATCTCGGTCGCTTTCATTGGCTCTCTCGTCAAAATCGTCGCCGTCTGGATGGAGTTGCCGTTGTGGCCGCCGCCGAGGCGAGAGCGCTACGGGAGCTGTTTGTGCGGATCCGCGTTGTTGGCCTACGTCGGCACTCCTGGTGATCATCGGGTGGCCGCCTCGATCGGGCGACCGACCGGCATGACTACCGTGGCTACCATGGCTGCGTGTAAGTGTGAGTGATGTTGAGGAACTGTGGCTGTTCGAATGTGCCAATCCGTTGCGCGCCGAAGACTGTACGAATGGCGAGGGCAGGTCGTCCGAGTCATCAATAACAGCCTCGTCCAAGTCCTTGACACGCTGAGTCGTCTCTCCCTCGAGGGGGTTAGTCGTTTTGGAGGGATCAGGTACGGGCGTGGATGAGAGGGGCGAATCAAGATTCTGTATGCGACGGCCACTGATCCCGACGGTTGGTGATATGGTAGCCGACGAGGATGAGCCGCTCCGGGGAATCCCAAAGCCGACCCCGTCGAGGCCGTTTGAATCAGTGCGCATCGCCAAGAGCACCTCGTTGGCGCTGGGTCGCTCGGCAGGGTTGACAGACAGCATCCGCATCAGCAGCTGGTAAAGCTTGGACGGCAGGTCAGGCCGCTCACGACGCTCGTAATGAAAGCCCTTCCAGCCCGATATCTCGGCACGCAGCTCGTCAACGTCCTCGAGCTCTTCGTTGACGGCATTGGCGCTGCGATACGGCAGGCGGCCAAAGCACATAAAGTACAAGATCATGCCGAGCGAGAAGACGTCCGACTTGGTCGTGAAGTTGCCGTAGAGCCCAGTGACAGTATCCCGTCGCAACACTTCGGGTGCACAGTACGATATAGTGCCCGTCGTGCCCGTCGATTTGCGTGCAACATTTTCAGCCTGCACCTCGCCAAAGTCACTGATCAGACAGGTGATGATGCGGCCTTCGCGGTGCAATAGGCAGTTACTAGGTTTGAGGTCGCGGTGGATGTAGTTGGCGGCATGCAGATAGGCCAGGCCGGATGTGATGTCTTTGAAAAGTGAGTAGATCTCGTCAAAGGCCAGGTGACGGTATGATCCAAAAAGATCCCGCGGCCGCTCAGCCTGGCCTTTGGATACGCGGCGCATACGGGCCTTGAGCTCCTCTTTGGTGGCTTCTTTAGGCTGATCTCCAATGATGTAACGGTGCAGGTCGCCGCCGTTGCAGTACTGCTGCAATATGAACGCGCAGGCCACGCTGGGGCCGAAGCGGTTGAGCGTGACGTTCTCGAGCCATACATGGCGATACGACACGAGATTCGGGTGCGACAGCTTGGCCAGCAGCTCGACCTCGACGAGGACCTTCTCAAGCCAGGCATGGTCGTCGCCAACAGGCACGCGTTTGCATGCAAAGTAGCCCAGCTGGCAGCCGTCGATTTCGTGCCGAACCAGCAACACAACACCCTTGCCGCCGCGTCCGAGCTCGCGTTCCTCGACGAAAAAAGTCTGGAAGTAGTTGGGACTGAACGCCTCCTTGTTAATGGGATTCGCCGCGTCGTTGGGCACGTAAGGAGTGCTGGAGACGAACTCGGCGTCGTTGGGCATGTCGCGGGGTACGGAGGAAGATGCAGAGGCGGCTGCAGGTGCTGCACTGCCGGCGTCGGGGTCGACCGCGTCACCATTGCCATCGACCGAGGAGACACTGTCCGCATCGGTGTCGGTGTCGGCCTCCGCACGTCCGACGAGAGGTTGGAACAGCCGTCGAAGCGGACTACTTCGTCCTGCGCGAGGTGCTGTGCCCGACGATCGGACTCCCGAGACCGAAGGCGGCGACGAGAGCGACGGCGCGGCGCGCAGCTGCCCGACATGGTGGCCGGCGCGTAGCATGCGGAAGTAGTTTGGATCGACGTAGCCCTCGTGCCGACTGTAGCCATGGTGGCCCGTTGAGGAGCTGTTGCGGAGACTGTCGTCACCATAGGGAGGCCGCTCGGGTGAAGCCGATCGTAGTGGACGGTGACATGTCGGGCACTCGGCAACGCCGCGGATCTCGAGTCGTTGCGATGTCGGATCGTGCACAACAATCGCGTTGCGGTGGCGCCTAGGAGGTCAATTCAATTGTCCTTGTCCTCTAGCAGAGGTGAAGCTCAATCCCCAAAGCCGAGCTCCACATGACGTAGTCAGGGTTCTTACAGCACGATTTCTCGCCCTTCCTGCGGGTGGTAGGGAATCAGGGACATGGTTGGCCGTTCGCTGTTCTCGAGTGAGCGAGACGACAGGGAGTGGGATGCATTGCTAGCTGTGTGCGGAAGAGAGTTGTCGATAGATTCTTGTCTCTGTTTTGGCAAAAGCCAAACGAGAGTCGACAAAACAAGTTCTTCGTGTGGTTCGTTGTTTCCGTAAATGGACAGGGCCAAGTCGGGTCGTAATTTGTAGCGAGCAGGAAAGCTGCGAGAGTGGCACCGTGGCAGGCAGGAGCACGGCCTAGCGCGACGACCTTCTGCGGGGAACGCACCTGCCCTGGCCACACCCGGAAATTGGCGCGCCAGAGCCAAAGAACGTCTTCCAATAAAAAATTAAAAAAAAACATGAATTATACGTGTATGGCCTAATCCCCAATTGAGTGCAGTGATACACGTCGTGCCACTTCGACGTCTCGGTATCCCTGGTGAATGTTTTTTCTTCTCTTTTTCGCTTTCGCATCGACTTTCAGAAAGAACAACAGGTATAAACTGTTAGATCTCGCGGCTACCCTACCCGGTCTTTGCAATCTTGTGTCTTAGAGCAGTCCGACTCGTTACAGCATATCGAGTGAACGATTATTTTGTCATCGACCCGGGTCAATTAATTTTGCCCTCACGCCTTCAAGCTATATCCCCTTCAGGAAACCAGCCCGTAGATGTCACCCCATTCTTCAGGTGCATCTCGGTTCCCTGCACCGCTCTTTGCAGCTGCATCAGCAACCATATTCGCCTCTCTTGGAATTCTCCAGAATTTGACAGCCATCCCGTTGTGGTCAAAACGCTCAACCTCCCCCAGTAGAGCCTCCCACATATCCTTATTCTTGACGGGCCCCAACCGCGTCCTCCAGCCGTTCCGGATCCATGTCCGAGCCCAGGTGGTGCATCCCTCGACCACATATTCAGAATCCGTGGCAATGACGAGCGTGTGGAAATCCTCTCCGGGCCAATACCGAAAGCGCAAGGCTGCAATGACAGCACGGAGTTCTGCCCGGTTGCTGGTCTGGTCGTGGGGATCGCCGAAGGGGCCTTGCTTCTCTAAACGGAACGATGCAGTGAGCTGGTCACCCGACGGACCAAGTCCGTGCCAGAAACCGCAGCCGGCGGTTGGGTTTCGTTGTCCGTTGTTCAGGCAAGCACCGTCTGTGCGGATCAGGCAGGTACCAGTGTCATTTCGGAGAGTGATTCTGGGGAAGATATATGAGCAAAATGCCATCTCTCGTTACCTGTGCGTGTACATATACCTACCTTGTCACAGCCATATGGGCTTTCCGGCCAGAGAACAGCTCCAGAGGAGCAAGCGGAGCTGCTGGGATGAATTTGGTAGGAAAGACTTGCCCGGTTCCTCGAATCAGGTCTAGGCCAACGCTCGGGGGTGCCAAAGGAATGTTGTCGTTTGTGAAGTCATCCTCATCCTCATCCTCATCTTCCGCGTCGGTATCTTCATCATCGGAGCTTCCACTAATAACATCATCCATGAAGCTGTAGTCCGAGAAGCACCGGGGGCAGACAACCAGACCATGAGGGCCACAGACCACGCGACCATTAGGGAGCTCACAGGGCCCCTCCTCGTCGTCGCTACTGCTTTCACCGAGTGGGATCAGCCCTTGGGCTAGGTACCAGCCGCGAGGCATAGCTGTAGGTTAAGATGGTGGACGCCGACTGAAGCTTGGAGACAATTGAAGGTGGTGTTTGAAAATACATTAGGGTTACTGGGATAATGTTGCACGGCATTCTACAGTAATGGCAGGCGAGGCCTCTCTGGGACAGCACCACCTATCTAGGGACTGGCACGTGACCTTCAGGGCCGATGGTTCCTACAGTAAACAAGCAGCAAAGTCGGAGCACGTGATCTGCGTCATCATGCCGTAGTATCTGTTCCCAAATCGACAAATACAAAGTCTAAATGAGCTCGTTTACATGAATGTCCTAGCTAACTATGTGTTCAATAAGACAGTCCAAGCCGTGCACAGGGTGCAACAATGAGCTCTTCGAACAAAGCTTCTCGGCCTGCCTGCTACCGTTTCATATCGATTACAACCCGGGCAAACCGACGACGCGCCGCAGGGCCGGTACCCACCGCGGCAGCACGTACACACTGTAAAAGGCCACCAGCGCAACGAGAAGACCAGTAAGCTTCTCGAACCACGTGTGGAAGTAGATTGCCGTCATCAGCAGCATCCACAAACTGAGGCCAATCGCGGCTGCAGTCACGCGCAGGGCAACGCGCGACAATAGGGCCGCGTTGGCACTGCGGGTATCGGGCTGCATGAGACCGGCACGGGCTGCACTGCTGTTCTGCTCGCCGGTACTGCCGGTGGCTAGGCCGGCCTCGACTTCGGCCGACTTGACAGCGCCGTCGTCCATGACCAGCAAACGTGTGTCGACGACACGCGCTGTGCTGCTGCTGTGGCTCGTGCTGCCAGGCACGCCGCCCGAGATGGCCGCTCGCCGCTGCGCCTGGCGCCACAGCACCCAGCCAACCTCCTGCGCCAAAAACGTCGTGCCCAGCACCAGGAGGAAAACGTGCCCGCTAATGTCGTGACCGCCGCGCCACTGGCCGCCGGCGTGCTTGCAGGCCGACGCCGTGGCGGCCTCTAGAAACTGGTATGTCGCTTCGGCGTGCTTGCCACCCTCGCCCGACGAAGCAGCCGCACCCGCCTCGTCGGTCAAAGCTTGCAGGGCCTGGCAGCCGCCGCCCGTGAGGCGGTAGTTGCGGTCGATGAGGGCGGGACCAAAGAACCACTGCGTGACGAGGAACCACCAGCCGGTGACGAGGCCCCATCGGAGGACAGCGGCAGAACGACGACCCAGAACGTGTTTTCGGGGTGCGCTGGGCTCAGCATAGTACGGGTGGGTGCCGACAAAAAAAGCAAACGTGATCGTGATCCAGAACCAGCCGCGCTTGACGAAGAAGACGTTGAGCAGGTTGTCCTTGCGCGCAAAGTAGCTCGGCGCGAGGCTGGGTGCCTGCGGGTAGTGCGCTGTTCCTGAGCCAGGTCCGCTGCCTGTCGAAGCTGCTCCGGCGGCGGCGGCCGCGCGCGTCTGCGGGGACAGCAGGCTGAAGAGGGTGCCGAAGAGGAGGAGAACCGGGAAGACGGCCAAAAGGAGGGACTCGCGCGAGGTCGGCAGGTATGGTGAGCCACGGCGTGCTGCAGGAGCGGGGGTGGAGGATGTAGACGCAGGCGTATCGGCCATCTTGGGCTTCCGTCGCAGCTGAGGTTCGGCCGGTCGAGGCGATGAGGCCATAACGAAAGTCGAGGTTGAAGGGGAGGAAAGGGAGTCAAAGAATCAAAGCTGTCGGCCAAACTGTATGTAATTGATACCTTGCGAGGAAGCAAATAGATAGATCAGAAAGAAAGAAAGTCAATAGGCCGTGGAGAAGCGAGAAAGAGGCCCCGGTGCCGTAGGCCGCCCGTCGCTGGCATTCGAGGCAGCAATGGGACATCAATGAACGAGGCGCTGGGAACTTGGGGCCAAAATAGCGTCGTTTGGCTTTTGCTACCAGAGCTTGTGCGTGCAGCAGCAGAGCAAAAACCGATGACGTCTAGATATCGATCACGTGCAAGACGCGAAATCAGACCCACTTCAGGTCTCCACCAAGCCAACCCGTTACAACACACACTCTTACTCCTCTGGTCGTATCATAGGTCATTGGCAAACTTTTCGCAACAGATCACTTCTCGTTCGCATTGCATCACAATACATATTTAACTTATTATTTGTGAAATTTTGTTTTATTTCGGTCAAGGTTTCTACTCGACAAATTTTCAAAAAGAGGCCGTGCTCTCTTTGAACTTTTAATCTTCGACAATGAAAATGAAATGGTCTGTCCACCGACGCCAATGCACCGGCTTTTTCCAGCTACCCGAAGACAGCTAGACATGATAAAACGAATAGAAAGGGCAAAATGGAGTTTGTGAAACGGGGCAGTGAAGCGAGTGTGACGAATCGAAAGGAGGTCGGTTTGTGGTTTAGGCGTGACCGATGGTGGTAATGAAAGAAAAAAGAAACAAAACAGAAGAAAAAATGTTCAAGTGAAGATCCCAAATGGCAAGATGGCAGACGTCCTGACCCGTTGATCATAATCATATCATGGTCATGGGTTCATGTTCATTGAGGTAGTGACACTACAACTCCACCGAGACGAGCGCCAGCGTCGCGCAGAAGTTGTTACGGTTGTTGGCGTCCTTAGCCAGTGACACTCCGTTTACGTCGACCATGTTGACCGCGGCCTTCGTGCTAAGGCCGTAAATGAACGCCTGGGACGATTCCACGCTGACAATGTTGTCTTGGCAACTTTCCGTGTCCAGGCACGTCTGGTCGTAGTTGTCAAAGAAGGAGTAGAGACCAGCACCATACACGAACACGTCAGTCGAGTTGGTGATGCGCAGACCCCAGGCACGAGCGCAGGTCGCGTCAGTGCACGAATCAAAGCTCGGGTCCGACAGCGCAGTTTGGCTGGCATACGGCGTCCGCGCGTCGGGGTTGCCCTGGTAGTAGGGGGTCTCCGTCTGGATCAGGCCCATGTACACATTGCTGGCCGAGGTGAGCTGGTAGTTGTACAGGACGCTGTGCTCCGAGGCGGTGCCGACCATCCAAACGGGGCCCCGAGACTCGATCAGAACACCGCGACCATTGAAGACGTTGATCTGCTGCGAATTGGCCGACGGCTCGAGGTCGTGATCAGCAGTCCAGAACCAGGCGTTCTCCACGTAGAGCGACGAGGCACCCGAAGTGACGTGCAGCATGAGGCCAGCACCCAGACAGTTGGGGTCGGCAGGCGCAGTGAGGGTCGGGTTCTTTGCGCACTGGGCCAGCTGTAGGTTCGTGCCGGCAGCACCACCGATACGGACGTGCGCGTCCCATATGCCAGCAGCGCCAGCAGACGAGCCCTTGAGGTTCCACTCGATCATGACGGCACCGGGCTGGGGGCCGACCGTGGCAAACAGAATGTCAGAGATCTCGACAGCACCCGAGTCGCCGGTCTGGCCTACCTGGAAGACTGGCTTCGTGTTGCCAGCGTCCGAGAAATAGCCGTTGCCACCGGCCATGATGACGGGCCAGATTTCGCCAGTGATACGGACGTTGGGGGGGACCTTGATGGTACTGGTGACGAGGTAGTTGCCGTGGTCAAAATACACAACCTTCCCCGCTGTGATGCTGTTGAAGACAGCCTGGATGGCGGCCGTGTCATCGGTCACGCCATCGCCCTTGGCACCAGCAGCCTTGACAGAGACAAAGTCACTGGCGGGGACAGTCTCGTACTGGGGACGGCTGCGTGCAAAGATCTTGCCAGTGGAGTCGAGGAGGACCGCTGGCTTGATGACAGCCGTCTGCGAGCCCTGAACAGCGCTGCTAGGGCCGCCAGGGTTGGGGATGTTGCCCTGAATCCACGAAATGATCTTGGTGTTGCCGGGCAGGATGGTGGACGAGCTAGTCGAGTCGGAAACAGCAACGGGCACATTTTTGGTCATGTCAACATTGTCAATGACGAGCGTGCCGTTGGTGGCCGACGACAATGGGTGGTAGGCAGTCTTCACACCAATAGGCGTGTTAGTGACGGTGCTGTCGAGGAAGAGGACCGAGCCAACGGTCTGGACGGAGCCGCCGTTGCTCATATCAACGCCGACACCGCAGTTGTTGATGGTGACGTCCTGCAGCGTCCAGGCCCAGTTCCAGTTCATGAAGATGGCAGTCTGGCAGTTGTTGAAGGTGAGGTTGCGGGTGGTAAACTGCTGGTTGCCAAAGAAAGCGCCGTATTCGCCGCCGTTGAAGACCAGGTCAGCCATGAAGCCACCGGAGCCGTTGTCCATGAAGATGCCGAGCTGCTTGTTGGCGGTGCCGCCATCGGTGCGCATGTTGAAGACGATGTTCTGCAGGCTGGTGGCCTGGGCGACCTGCCAATGAATACCGGCGCCTGCGGTGAAGGGCATCTGCGTGAGGTCGATGACAAAGTTGCGGACCTGGCGGAAGAAGTTGTTCTGGTTGGTCCACCAGTTGTTGCCGGTGTTGTCATAGGGATCCGAGTCAACCACGGCTATGCCGGTAAAGCTAGCACTGGCAAGCAGGGTGGGCGGGTTGATGGCGTCACCGACGAGCTGAGTGTAGTAGTACTGGATGATGGGCGCGCTGACGAGGTACTTGCCGGGCGGGAAGTACACAAGAGCAGGCGACGTCGTGCTCGAGTCACAGCCTTGGCCGCAGCGGCCACCAGAGGAGATGGCGTTGTTGATGGCAGCGGTGTCGTCGGTCACACCGTCACCCTTGGCACCGAAGTCCATGACATTGCGGAAGACCTGGTAGCCAGAGGCACCGAACGGCACAGTGCCTCTGCGTTCAATGTTGGCTACCCAGTAGCTCGAAGCAGACGCGGCGGCAGAGGCGGTAGCCCCGTCGCGCTCGGCGATGGGGTACTCGACGGCCGGTGCCGCGACAATGGGAGTAATGAGGCTTGCAGCCAGCGCGAGCGCGGCCGTAAGGCGAGTAGAAAAGCCCATCTTGCGAGATTAGAGCCAGCTAATGCTTAATGTCTTATTCTAGTGCGAGGAGGAAGATCCTGTTCTTGCTTTTGATATTAGTTTTTGAACCGAAACGGAGGGTTACCACAAGGGCAAAAGAGCTTTGCTAAAGACGAACAAAACAAGTGTGGCAGAAGGCAGAGGAAACAAGGATGGAAATGGAAAGTGTCTTCTGGTTATGTACGGAAGCATGGCAAGCTGTCCAAGTGAACGGCCATCATGTTCATCCCCCTGAACAGGGGAGTGGCATGTCCGTGACGGCGCATGTCATATGTGAGGTAGTAGGGACCTGGCATCAAAGGAAAGATCTCGCGCCGAGTTCTTTGTTGTTCTTTGAATGGCCACGAGGGAAAAGGAAAAGCAGTGCAGCAAGGGGCAAAAGCAGACTCGCAGGCAGCAGGGAATCGACAAGGGAGGCAAGTCCAAAACAAAGGCTTCGTTTATTTTGGTGCGGGATATGGCGAGGTGACAAGGCGATAAGTCGACAACGACAAAAAGGAACAGCATCGCGTTGTGTGGTAAAGGCAAGGAGAATAGTGGCCAACTTACACGAGAGGGTAACGTCGTCAGATGGCGAGTCGGCAGTGACAAAGAGGGAAGCGTTGGCAGATGAACGAAAAGGTTCCCGCTCGAAGAGTAGGATCGTCGACTTTATATATGCGAAAAGAAGGAAGCGAAACTGGGGACGAAGAAGACAAACAAAGAATAGAGGGCGACTTGCGCAGCTGGGGTTGTCGAGACCAAGACTTGGAGATTGGTTCTTTTTTTCAGAGACGTAGGAAAGGAGCAGAGAAAAGAATGCAGAGGAAAGGTGAAGTGGAAGAAAATCCTGGGTTCGCGGAAACGCAGCCGGGGCGGGAAAAGGACAATAGCTATAGCCAAGCGACGGTAGGGCTCTGAAGGACCGAGATGCTTTCGGATCGGTTTGTGAAAAGGTAAGGAAGGAGACAAAAGAGGAAGGAGCGACCGGCGTCGTGATAGCTGGTTGTGGTGCGACAGAGGGAAAGAACGATGGGTGCAGCCGATGAAGAAGAGAATCTGGCAACGGTGGCGATCAACGAGAGTAAGGATAAGAGAAAACGAAAATAAAAAGACCCGAAAAGAAGAGAAAGAAAAGGAGGAGTGATAGTCTGGGCGACGATGATGGATGTAGGTCAGAAGGACGTCGACGAAAATGGAAAGAAGCCGAAGATGCGGATATGCACATCAAGTTATATAATACAATGGGAAGGAGCTCTGCGGACGTAGCGCGCCGAGTGGAAGGTGCGTACAGTGAGGGGAAACTTGACAAAAAAAAATACTCAAGGGAGACGCCCAATGAGAAAAAGTAAGGAGGAAATGAGATGGAAGAGTGAATAAGAGGGCAAGGCGCAGGGGGCCACGAAAGGAACAGCGACAGGGGACGGGGACGGCGAGTGTGAAGTTTATTGTGCAAACGTGGGCCGTGTGAACCCGTAGAGATGAAGACAAGGAGACGATGAAGAGACCGACCAGAGAAGGGAAAACACAGTCAGTGCACTCCCGGTCGCATCGTTTTTATCCTCCGGCCCATGTTGCATGGTCGTCTTGGTCGTCTTGCTCCTGTCCTCGATATTCGCCAGGCAGGGTCCGTGGCCACAGCTCCCGGCCGCGCCTTTTTTGCTTCCTCTCGTACATCGTATGCTACGGACATGGCCAGCCTCTTGTCGTCGCGTAGCTGGGCTTTGCATCCACCTCCTGCACGCGGCT